AATCTTGGGCTTTAACAGAACCCTCTTCAGACCCCTCAGAATACATTCAGGTAACCCAGTACCAGTAACTCAGCAGCCATGCCAGAAAGAAAGGAATAAAAGGAGTTAGTCTGACGCTTCATCACTTACCAAGTTTCTTAGCTGAATTCCTTCAGGATTTAGAGCCCAGCTGCTCCCAGAGCTGCTCCAGAGGAACCATGTTGTGCCCCTGCTTTAAAAAAAACATTTGTTTCTATACAACTAGAGCCAAAACTTTGAACACTGGGCCCAAAGGTAACACTTGCCTTGTTCCAACCTAAAGCCAACAGTAATGTAGAAGCTTGCTGAAGGCAATTAACTTGCCAATTAGCAAAGCTCTTTCTGCCCTGTGTGATCTCTACTGGTACTTCATTAAGGTTAATTGAAAAGCTTTTGTGCATTTGTGTAAATCCCTGTTGGCAATGGGAGCCAAAGCTTTGCTGTGAGTGGAGCATTCAAACTCATTACATCTTAAACCAGAACCTGTCAGCTCATCCCGTGTAACAGTGATGGCTGAGGAATGTCAGGCACTCACTGTCCTGACAACAGTTTATTAAGAATTAAGCATTGTTCACTGTAAAACTGCTGCTGCTGTGAACTGGAGGGAACCGAGTTTCATAACATCAGATTTGGAACAAATGAAAAGGTTAATGGAGAAGAGGGAATCTCTTCGTTTTAGGATGTCACTGCCCCCAGCAGCCCATCCTGCCCTTTCCTGGCAGAGGGAATCCTCTTCACCTGCAGCAGGCTAGCTTAAAACAGCCACCGAGGTAGGTGCACCCTGATGACCACCATGCTCGCACCAGCAGCTGCTGCTCCTCCTTGAGCCTCCAGGGATGCTCCTGTTCAGAGCTGATGGTCAGGCCTATTCCATTCCCAGAGAAGGCTTTACTAATGGTGTTTGAAGGGTCTCAAAGAAAGCAAAGTCACTAAATGCTGCTTTAAATAACTGTGCAGAGACAACATCAGGGAACTTAATTTCCCCTAGGACTGAGGGTAGGTGGTGGTCTCATGAGTTGTGCTGCTACTAGAGAACTAAAATGGCCAAATGTTTGAGGCTATAAAATGTGGGGTCTTAAAGTGAGTAGTTGTAAATAACACAAACTGTGCATTGAAATGAACTGTGAACTCATTTCTGAATACGTTGGTTTTCTCTTACAGGAGGGTCCCCCTCATAAATGTGCCTTAATTTTCGCAGATAACAGTGGAATAGACATAATTTTAGGAGTCTTTCCTTTTGTCAGAGAGCTCCTTTCTAGAGGGACAGAGGTAAGTGGGTTTCATTGTGAATTCACTGTGTAACGGAGCTTTGGTAATTGCTAACTATCCACCTGCAGTACTCTTGAGCAGAGTGGCTCCTGGCATCAAAACAGGGACTAATCCCAACCCCTGGAACTCCAAAGCCTACAAGAAACCTGGAGAGGGGCTTTTGAGAAGGGTCTGTAGGGACAAGACAAGGGGAATGGCTTTAACCTGCCAGAGGGGACAATGAGATGAGCTCTTAGGCAGCAGCTTTTCCCTGTGAGGGTCATAAGACCCAGAATAGCAGTTAATGAGGGAGAATGAGCACTGGCTCTCCAGCCTTCCTCTTTGCACTTTTTCCTCTATAAAGCAAGTGAGGGAATGGCGATTTAAACAGACGAGCAGCTCTACCACCACACGTGCACTGCATTAACCAGTGGACTCTTCTGTGCCTTCACCTCAGGTTATATTGGCCTGTAACTCTGGCCCTGCCCTGAACGATGTCACCTACAGTGAATCCCTGATCGTGACTGAGCGGATAGCAGCAATGGATCCCATCATTCAGTAAGCATATTCCCAGCCTTCATTATGCATTGTACAGTACAGAGAAGGAAAAGGCAAGTTCCTTGTTACATATTTAACTGTGTTTATTAGTGTCTGAAATCTGGAACCTGGCAGCAAGCTAAGGCAGATCATGTACTTTCACTAAGGTGAACGATTTACAGATGAGATCTTTATTAACAATCCATAATTGTATTTGTTTTCTGTGTCTTCCGTGATGAGCACTCGAGCTGCTAAAACATAAAGCTATGTTAGAAGGAATAGAGGAAAATACAGAGATGTCACATACAGAGCAGCCCTGTGGAGGATACGCAGCTGACCAAATAATGCTTCTGTGGATGGAAGCGTTGTGTTCCCTGGTGGGATCCTAGTAGGAAAAGAAGCCTTTGCAAAGCAGACTTAGATAGTTGTTGTCATTGGTTTAGTACCAGATTTACATGACCCTAAAGTAGACATTTAATGTTTTTTGTCTTTTTCTTTCTTTTTCAAGATCTGCACTGAAGGAGGAGAAGCTGCTCTTGGTTCAGACGGGTTCGAGTTCTCCATGTCTAGATCTCAGGTATGCTGGCAAAGTACCCATCTGTTCTTTGTCTCCATCAGCTGCAGAATGTTCTGAGACTTAGCACTGGAGGATCTCAGCCACCCTTCCTGATAGGAATCACTTCCACACAACCAGTAATGTTGCTTAGTCTGGATTTACAGACTTGTGATACTCATCAGCCCTTCCTCGTTGTTGGGTGTCTGCCTTACTAAGGTGTGTTGAGCAGTGACGCTGCCACGGTCAGGAGCAGCTTAGTTAAATCCTGCACGTGACCAGGAGATCCCCTTGAGCACAGGCAGTGTTTCATGTTGTTAATCTGTTTACTCTTAGTTCAGTTCTCTGGTGCAACAGAACTTACCCACGTGTTTCCTGGGGAATCCCAAGTGTGCTCAGGATGGAGCTTTTAAAACTACAATCCAATCTCATTTCCTTCAAGTGTTCCTGTTTATTGGCATCAGTAATTCCAGCTGAAAAGCCGTATCCCACCACACTTTATGTCCAAAGCCCTTAGAACCACCCGTGTTTCACCCGTGGCACGTGTAAGGACTGTTCCTAACCAGAGCTCTCCTTCCAGCCGTCTTGACAAAGGCTTGGCTGTGCTGGTGCGGGAGCGGAAGACAGACCTGGTCATCATCGAGGGCATGGGCCGCGCCATCCACACCAACTACTACGCGGCTTTCAAGTGCGAGAGCCTCAAGCTGGCTGTGATCAAGAACTCGTGGCTCGCTGACCGCCTGGGGGGGAAGATCTTCAGCGTCATCTTCAAGTACGAAGTGCCGTGTCAATGATGGGAGCTGGCCCGCAGGGGGAGCAGCAGCAGCAGAACGGACTTGCACTAGTTTTACTTTAACTGTAAAGAATGTATTTTTACTACAACAGGGAAAAGAGTTCACAGGAAATTCCGTATTTATATTGTGCTTTTGTGACTTAAAAAGCAACAATATGATTCACTCTATAGTATACACACCCAAATATATATATGTATATCACTCATTGTTTATTTTGGTAAGTGTTTATTTTAATGCTGCAGTATTTGTGATGAAAAGACTTTATTTTTTTGTTCTGTGAGACATTCATATAGAAATATATTTAAATGTCAATGAAACCTTTTTTTATACATCTCTGCCTATTCTGCCAGCAAGGACATGGCACATACCAAATAGTTCTAAAGTGCTAAGTCAGTCTGACACTGCATTTTCCATGACAGCTTTCAAACTTACCTAAAGTGGTTCACGCTCTTTGCAGTTAATTTGATTGAAGGACTGATCCACCTTCTGACCTAAGAAGCATCACTTCAGCTGTGTCTAAAACAGAACTGTCCTGATCTAGGGTAACTGGACAGCACTGGTTTACCAGCAGTTGGAAGAACCCGTAACTCCTGTTGCTTTCCCTGTTTGTTCTTGTTACCAGTTGGGTTGGGAGGGGAATGCTGCAACTACATGAAATTACTCAGCCATAGTTTGAAGTTGAGTCTTACTAAGTTACCCTCCCCGTGAACATGAAGTGCTCTACTGAGGCGCAGCCAGCTATTCTCCTGTTGCAGGCATGTTAGGTTCTGTTGCCTTCAGTTATTAAATGCTGGGAGGGGTAGGAGTTAGTCTCTTGGTTCCTGCAGTGCAGTTAAAGCCATTCCCAAGTAACTGAATTTGCCTTTGTCTCCCCCTCCATGGGATGTGCAGTACCAAAATGGAGCAATTTAACCATGAACTTTGCATCAGTCATTCCAGCTCTGAAATGAAAAACAGCTCAATTGGAGAACTGTTTAATACACAGCTGGGCCAACTCCCCTTGAGTCCCAAGGATTTTCCCTTGCAAGCAAGAGGCTAGTGCCCCAGTGCCCACAGCCTCACCCTTGCCCGGTGAACTTCAGTTGACCCATTACCAGACTTCATGCTCTGGAACTACTGGATTTCAACCTTCAGTCTTCTTCCTCTGTAGTTCTTCGTCAGGTTAACTATTAACTCTCTATGGCTGGGTGGTGAAACCCGTCCCTGATGGGAACCTGGCAATGACAAGTCCACATCTTGCATTTCTTATGTCCAGTAATTCCTTAGTTGCATCAGGTCTCAGGGCACTGCAGGGGATTCAGTTAAGCCCCACAGTTGGGGGTTTACGCCTCAGCACTGTCATTCCTGATTCAGAACCAATCTTCCTGGTGACCAGCATCTGCTCAGAATGGGGGGAGTTTATAACTGGCACGTTTCAGCAGCAGTTCTTGATGAGAACAGTCAGCTGAGAGAGAGCTTTACGTTTTCAAGGTTGTTCCTCAGACTGTCACTAGTAAGCAGAGGCTCCGTATTAACTGTCCCAAGTCCCTTACTCCTACAGGTGTTCATGTACTTACACAGTGAACTTCTAAACTAAATACAGACCCAGCACTGCAGCCACCTCGGCTCTATTTCCCCAAGTTGTTAACCTCCCTTATTGTTAAGTTACACTCTTATGGATTTAAATTCTTCCAAGTCACTTCTTTTCTTCTGCATCCAGCTGCACCAATCCAGAAGTGCTCTGTGTGTGTTTGTAATTAGAAAACTAACACTCTAGACTTGCAGAAAAACATCTTTCTACATCAATGTAGTTCCTATGAAATACAAGTGGTATGAACCTAACACAGGCCCGTTCCTTAAGGACAGAACTGTTAAGGGTTAGCCCTCCCCGAAGTCTCCTGGCTCTGTCTTGTGTTTTTCTTTATATGCAGACGAGTGCAGATTTCTTCTGTGAAAACAGCACAGCAAGATTTCTGGAAGACAAAAGGGGGGGAAACACAGGGATGAGTCTTTCTGTGTCACGGAAAAGGGGTGCACAACCCACCCCTGGAACAGGTGGGGAACAGGGGCACACACTCAGATTCTAGTGCAGTTTCATTTACATGTGTTTTCCTGCTTGTCAAATGACTTGAGAAGAGCCATACTTGAGAATAAACTTGTTATTGATGATCTATTGTCCTCTGTACACACTCAGCACACTGGAATGCAGGCCAGGAATCAAGTAGATGTTTCTACTTAACATTTTGGCAGGGTGGGGGATTATTACTGTTGACCTGTCCATGCTAGAAAAATGTCGCTCAGCCCAAGCTATGAAATTCCAGCTGTTTAAAGAGCACATCGAATGGCTTCCCCTGTCACCGCGCTGCTTTCCTTAGAAAAAGCAGGATCAGGCTGGTACCGAGCTTGTCCATGCTAATCCGGTGGGATACAGGGAACGGGGATGAGATAAAACCACCACCCACCTTGGCATGTCCAGCAGCGTGTCTGCTCTTATTCGAGAGCTCGGCCACGGCTGCGATGACGCCCAGGGCCAGGCCGATGGCCAGGGTGAGGAAGAGCCCCCCCAGCGCCTGGGGCTGCAGCGGGCCCCACCGCTCCCTGCTCCTGTGGAGGCAGCTGCTCTCCCACCACTTGTTGCGCAGGTAGTCGAGGTCTCCGGACTCGCGCAGTTTGAGGACAGCGACTGAGAGCTGCTTCGTCCATGGGGACGCTGGTGGGGGTAGAATGAGAGCGTGAGAGGCACGGGACAGCTCACGGCACGTCTGAGCAATCCTCTGCTATGCGCCAAGAAACCCTTGGGTCTGGAGCAGGAGATTGACAGGACGAGGGGTGATGGTTTCAGACTAAAAAAGGGAGATTCAAGCTGGACGTGAGGAAGAAATATTTTATGCTGAGGGTGGCAAGACACTGGCACAGGTTTGGATGCTCCATCCCTGGAGACATTCCAGGCCAGGCTGGATGTGGTTCTGAGCAACCTGGTCTGGTTGAAGATGTCCCTGCCCATTGCAGGGTGTTGGGTGAGCTGTAAAGGTCCCTTCCAACCCGAATCATTCCATGATTCCAGGTGGAGAGTGGGGCAGGACCAGCGCACACACTAACCCTGGGTGGTGGCGATGCCAAATCCTCTGGCTCCGATGACTTCGGGGGCCCTGATGAGGTTGCAGTGCCGGGCGGCGGCGAGGTCCTGGGAGATGGATTCCCCGATGAAGGCGTAGTTCGTCTCCATCACCCGCTGAACTGCCTCCTGGTAGGTCTTGACTAAAACATGGTCTCGTCTCTTGTCCATGTATTCATAGATCATCTGATGGATGGGATTCTTGGAGTTCTGCAGCCCAAAAATCCAAGGGTCAACTGAAGTGCAAAACCACCACATAAAATCTGCCTGTAAGTGCAGTGGATGCAAAATAACTTGGACACTAAGGGTACTTACACCATTGCCTGTGTAGTTAATGTATCCAGACATGACCTACATCAACCCTGTGCTCAAGGCACACAAGGACAACCCCTGCAGACTAGGAATGCACTATAAGAACAGAGTCCTCTACATGCTTTTTCCCTCTGAGAAACGGTGGAGGAAGAGATGAACAGAACAACAGATACCTTGAAGAAGTAGAAGGTAGAGGAGCCCTCCAGTGTCCCAAACTCCAGCTTCCTTTGCTTCACCAGATCCTCAAAGGTCTGGATGGGGAGCTGCTCGCTGCCAGAGCTCAGCAGGGCGGTGAAGTTGGCGATGTAGGCAGCCAGCAGGGCGATGGTGAAGAGCCACCAGACAGCAGCGACGACCCGCACAGAGAGAGCCTTGGGCCGAGGGGTGACACCTGCATGGGAGGGATGCACAGAGACACAAAGAACTTTAGACCATGAGCCTGAGTTAAAGGCTTCCCTTTACATAAAGGCCAAACTGCAAAACTTGCCCTGCAGCTACTGAATGCATGAGTCTGAGACGAGCTGGGACGGCTGGTCTGACCTGCACCAACATGCAGAGCAGAGCTGGAGCAACATCAGCAGCCAAAAGCAACAACAGAGCACTTCCCTCTACAAAGCACCAGTGCAGTGGTTACCTTGACATTCCCAGAAAACACACCTTCCTCCAGTGAAGCCAGCCATCTGTACAGTTTCAACAGGTCTGTAGCCAAAACTCCCCAAACTGGGAGTTTTAGTGCTGCCAAGTGTCCCTGTTGGAACATCCTTTCCCCAGCAGGATGGCACAGCAGCGTTACAGACAGACCAGAGCTGGATATACAAACCCATACCCCTGCCAGAGCCCCTTCGTGGCTGTTCTCCAGCTCACCTTGCAGGGCAAGGGCTCCTGCTCCAAACCAGAGGCTGTTTAAGAAAGTGAAATGATTCTCTTCATTCTTTGGCTCATTCCATTCACAGGGGCTCAGCCTGTGGGAAAACGGCAGGATAAAACAAGACATTCGGGGGGAAAATAGATATGAACTATCCCGCAGCATGAGTGCAGCAGTGCAGATTAGCCTGAAAATGCCCCTTCTGTGCATGGTAGCTCCTCTTTCACCTGAGGGGGACAGTGCTCCAGCAATACAGCTCCAGTTCAAGACTGCAGCTGCAAAGAGCATTAGTGCAGCCTAAGCAGTGGGGAGAAGCTGAATCCCCGGGGAAGGAGTGGAGGGGTGGCAGAGAGAATCTTCCACCAGTCAGCGCAGGACACAGAGCACAAAAATACAGGAGAGAGACCTGCACGTAGGAGCATGGTCACAGTTCAAAAACTGATAAAGGTGAGAAAGAAGAGCTGAAGTACACACACACAGTCCTTTTAGCAACCCTACGTACTCCACATCAGGAGATCTCGTGCTCTTCATGCTCTCTTTACCTGACATAAGCTTTGTTGGCCCTGGTTCTGGACCTGGCCAGAAGATTCCTCAAAGCAAAATGCACTCAGGGACTTCCTTTAGAACTGAGATCTCTCCACAGCTGAGAAAGGAGCTGACTCGAACAAACCTGGGAAACAAATTCATTCGTACCTGGCAACAAGAAAGAGGCAGAAGCACGTCAGCACGTAGGCAAACAAAAGGCCGGTCCAGGTCTCCTTGCTGAAAGGAGCCAGGAAGTGGAAGAACGACATCTCCTGAGAGAGGGTTTCTTTGCGGAGCAAGATTCCGATCCCGGTCTGCAGGAACGGGGTGGTGAAGGAGACCACCTCTTCCCTCGCCGATGTGACCGTCAGCGGAGCCACCGCAATGTCTGCTTCCTGCGAGGCGGGGAGGAAAAACCATCGGCCCTCAACCTTCCTGAGGATCCTGTCACCCAGAGACCTTCCGAGGCTGAGCAGCAGGTCTGCAGCCACAGAGGGACAAACAGCTTTCCATTTTGCACTGGTCACTGCAGGGCACGGGTTGGAACCTGGGCTTCTGGTTTCCTACATCACCCAGAGGCTGAGGCCCAAGTTTCACTCAGGGGTTAGGTTCAAGGTAAGTTTTCCTGACAGCCGTTATCTTTGTTTCGTTAGTGAGCTGAGGTGTCTGTGCAGTCTCACACCTCAAAGAAACCCTGGGTGACCTCTGAGCCAAGACCAACACTGCACCAGGAGCGCCTCGTTGTAACAGTGAGTTCCTGCTGTGACCATCATCTCCTCGTTCCTTAGTTTCCATATGTGTAGGCCAAAGCCAACCACAAGCCTTGCTATTCATTACTTCTACGCCACAGGCGTAGTCCCTGAGCAGATCCCAACAGATCCCGGAGCTGCCGGCGCTGCTCTGCCCTCCTGGAGCCCACTTTGGAACAGCACAAATGGAAAATTACCCGTCTCAGAACTTCACCGATCATCCCAGTCCAGTTCCCGCTGGGAGAGACGGCTCCGTACTGCCCATCGCCCACCACCTTCACCCTGTAGCGGAACCGGAGCATTGCAGCCAGAGCCTTCAGCAGGTCGATGCAGTACCCCTCCAGTTCCGCACTCCTCACCATGACGTAAGGATCTTCCTGCATGTTGGGGGAAAAACACACAGTTCTGGGCTCCCAGAGCCTGCAGAGACCTTGGAACAGTCTTTCAGTGCCTAAAGGGGCTACAGGAAACCTGGAGAGGGGCTTTGGACAAGGGCCTGTAGGGACAGGACAAGGGGAATGGCTTTAACCTGCCAGAGGGGAGACTGAGATGAGCTCTTGGGCAGAAGCTCTTCCCTGTGAGGGTGCTGAGGCGCCAGCACAAAACCCCACTTGCGAATATATAGGCGGAAAGAAAAGACAAAGCGTGACCCCAGCTACCCCCCAGCCACCGCCAGAGCTGTGCCACTGCCTCACCAGGATCGTTGTGACAGTCAGAGTTGGAAGAGCCTCTTCCAGTCCCCTTGAGTCAATGCCCTGCAAGTTAAGAAATAGAGAAGAAATAAGTGGATTGCTAAGTCCCAGACAGGGCCCTCAGCTGGGGGGTGGGGGTGTCAGGGGGTCCCCTGTGTTAAACCAGCTGTAAATCTGCTCCTGTGAGCTGCAGCAATCCCACCACCGTGGTTCCCCAACAGGAACTGACCCAGCACAAGCATTTCCCTTTAGTGCCTGTTCTCAGGATTCTTTGTCTGAATAAAAGTCACTTTAAATGTTGTCACAAGTCACACGGTGCACACAGGCTCCCAAAGGGATCAGTGCGTGTTGCAGACAAAACAGTCAGTGGCTGGAGGCAGGTTCTTCCCTGGAGTACGGCTGAGTTTTGAATTCTGGGCAAAAGATAAGTAAAAACCCAGCACAGACACACACAGACTCAGTCATGGCCAGTGCCAGGCATGACAATGTATTTAAAATGATAACTCTTCACAGATTAAAAGCACTGCACCCTGTGACCACATCTATTTCTGAGGTTAAAATGTAAGATCTTTTGCACATACACCTTCACTGGCAGCTCTGCCCCAGGGAACTCAAACATACCTGGCTCAGAG